AAGAATGCACGTGTGCCTAGTGCCCACCTGGCTTTCTTTACTCTTGTACAATTCAGGACTCAGACCCAGGGAATGGTGCCACCCATAATGGGTAATCTCACATAAATTAATGTGGAATAAAGACAATTCCTAAGAAACATGCCCACAGGCCAGCCTGATGCAGACACACTCCCAAGTGATTCTGGATTGTGTCAAGTTGACAAATCTCAGCATCAAAAGGGTGAAGGTATCCTCCGTCTGAATCAGAGACTTGATCATGTCCCAGGACTTCCTGCACTTCTTTCCAGCCCTTCTTCGTAAGAGGGTTTTCCCATCCCAGTAGCTCCTCCGTTTGGATGACAGCCTGTCTTACACAGGTCTCACTTCTGCCCCAAGCTCTGCTTCATGATGAAGCCCTCTAAATTTTGCTCACTTGAAATGTCCCACTCATTCAGCAGTTATGATCCTTTTTATATTATGTTGTGGTATGATGTATTCTGCTGTTATGTTATGTTATATTACATAATATTATATTATACTGTAATGATTTCATTATAAGGATTTGCATTTGAGAGCCAAAAAATCCTCAGAAATCAACTAGGCTAATTTATCTTGGATCTGATGATTCCTATTAGGGGTATATGTGACTTTTCAAAATATTCTAGCATTTGTGTGAGAAACAGTGACTTGCCTGTGTACTTAAATTATGGCTCTTGGCTGTACCAGGCAATTGTAATAGACATAGCAACCAGAGACGTGCTTTATCCAAGCTAAAAGCTAAGGAGGACGACACCTGACCCAGCTTCAGCAGCCGTGGAAACCATCAAGGTGCTACTTAGATGGAAAGGACGTGTTCAGAGCCTGTGTTCACAAAGGAAGAGCAGAGGGAGACACGGCCGAAGAGTGCAGCTTTGGGATTTGATCCCAGGGCACGTGCCCCGGAAGGGCATGTGTCCAGGAAGGGCACGTGCCCCAGAAGGGCTTGTGCCCCGGAAGGGCATGTGCCCCGGAAGAGCATGTGTCCAGGAAGGGCACGTGCCCCAGAAGGGCTTGTGCCCCGGAAGGGCATGTGCCCCGGAAGAGCATGTGCCCCGGAAGGGCAAGCCCCCTGCAACTCCTCTCCCTTGTTTATGGCAAAGGAAAGTGTCACCAGTGGAAGTTATACACAAAAAGGAGTCACTGTTCTGGAAGGATGAGCTGCCTCTTACTCAGTCACCCAGCAGTCTGTATCTGCTGCTGAGCTGTCTCTGTCCCTGTGAGGGCAGAGGGAAAAGACACAGGGCCAAGGGTGCGCCAGAAAGTCTGCTCTACTTTTCCCTGGAATGAGAAGTTCTCAACCTGTGGGGTGCTCAAACAGTTCACCCCTGAGCAGTATACGGTGGTATTTTAGAGGGATTCTATCTCCAGGAGCTTCTGTCTAGTCTCTGAAACATCACCATGCAAAGGGTGATGTCAAGAGTGAGTCAAGTGGGCGTGTCAGGAGACAGGGCTCACTTTGGGCTGTGAACAAGCTGTCCCTCTTGTGATCCTCCCCTTATACCCACTTCTCAGTGATGAAGGGAGGAGAGAGAGTGAGGAATGCCAGGGGCCTTGCTACCTCTTGGCTTCCCAGAGCTTTCCCTGATTCTTACTACGCAATTGGTACGCATCTCAGAGAGGGTTTGTTGAGTCTGTAAGAGAAAGGCTACCTTGAGATCACGATGGTCATTCACCTCATTTCAGGGCTGGAGACACATATTAGGTTTCTCAAGGAGGTCCGGATGTTCGACAGCCTCCTAGGGCCCCGTCTTCAACTTCAGAGTTAGGTAAAGAGTTAAGAAACCATTCCCTTTTCCTCTAGACTCATGCAAATGTGCAGTAATCTACACAGCCTGGAACATTATATGAGATGACTGTTATCAAATCTGTTAATCATTTTAAGGAGCTGAACTTCAGTCATTCTAAAACACTGCTCATGCAATTAATCTTAGGTCATTGCACCTAAACTGCTATCAAGGAATTGCATGCCACCAAGAGATAAAGTGAGGCCCAGAAAGGCTCAACTGACCGAAGTCACGGCCCTAGCCACTGCAAAGAGCACACGAGGACACCTCCCAGGCAGGTTTTACTTCCTTAACAGAGCTGAGAAACACTCAGACGCCAGAGAGCAAAAGTCAGAGCCTCCTGGGTTTCCTTCTGCAAATCTTTCTAGACAGAACACTAGCGACCTGCTGTCAGCAGGCATCTCCTGTGACTTGCAGTTTTCTGTGCTAGGCTAAACAAAACCGTGAGAGAACCATGTGATGATGGTGACTGCAGCTCCCAGGAATACGGTGGGCTCCGAGGGAGGCCTCTGCCTGGAATTCACACCAGGTCTATCTACACCCTGCTTACCCTCCCCACACAGAAGAGTGCTGGAGCCTCACCTGCTTTAGGTGAGACAAATCTATCCAGGTTGGCCACAGGGCAGATGTCAACTGCTCAGCAGACTAGAAACAGCAAACAGAGACAGAATAACAGTAGTATACAAATGGGAGCTTGGGAACCTGGTGTGAATGAGCCGTAGGAAATAAGAGCTGAATAAAAGGAAATAGATACAATGAAATTATTAACATTCACCAAAGAGGAAAGGACATGAACACACAGCAAGTGGGATATGGGTGCACAGGTAATAGGGTCTCCAAACTTGAGGCTTTGGAAAAAATCACTGTATTCAATCATAGCCTTGATACAGATGTGCCTCAAGATGACTTAGTCATCAGCATAAAACTTCAAAATAAAATTTTGAAAAACATATTTAAGATAGCACAGCTACACAGGATCCAATATGGAAGAAGTCCCACAAACCAGGTAAGAGAACAGCTATAAAAGCTTTCACTGTCTGGAGGACTGCCTTATACCTTTCATTTAGAAATGCCACTCCGAGGACCTGCGTGCGAGTCCCTGGGAGCTTCCGCATCCGGAGGCTGGGCATCTACACCTCCAACGGCGTGAACGAAACTGCTTGTTAGACCCCCACCCGCTCCCTGCCACTGTGCAGCTCTCCTGGGGCAGCAGGTGAGCAAGCATCAGGCCTCTGACCACTGTCACTTGTGGGGCTGATTTAGTTCCTGAAATTTTGCTGCTCCTGTTCTCTTTGTCTTTATGGATTTTTGCCTTTAAAAAAAAAAAAAAAAAAAAAGGCCTGTGGTCATTTTACTGAGGTTTCAAGAGGGAATGGATTAAACAAAGGTGTTAATTCTTTAACAGGAAGTATATAATTGATTTAGTCTCCTCCAGAGACAATTTTCCACTTAAACTACCTGATAAAAGCATGTGTTTCCTTCTAGCTCATTTTCCTGACCTTCAAGAAGCAAGTCAATCCAGTGATGAGAAGAAAACCCACAGGCCAAAGCGAGGCTATGGCTTTGGACATTGGAGTGAGTAGGAAAGATTTTTTTCTAGAAGAATTTGGCAGATTTATTATCAGTGTTTTTATAAATGTTTAAAAAATATTTTTTTTATGATACTTCTTCCTCTGCAGGTTCCTGCTCAGCTGTCCCACATGCGTTCCTTACCACTTACTTACTTGAGAAAGGGCGTGTTAAGTTACACACACGCATCCCTGAAGAGGTCTGCCCTTTATTACTCCTTGGTCTTATTCATACAGTGCTCAGACACTGCCTCCTGCACCACCTTGCAGGATCCAGTTTGTAACCAGATCCTTCAGGTGGCACTGCTGAGACCTGGCTGAACACACACATGCACACATGCACACATGCGTTTTATGGCATTTTGGTGACCTGTATCTTCCTTTGCAAGACTGAAGTTCTGCAAGTGGAGTATAATTACTTCTAAAGTAAAATCTTACACAGAGGTCTTTTGAACTCAATACAAATTAGCAATTCTTCATATGACTAATGACTATATGTCCTTACAATAACTATAACATGAAAAATGAAAGACCAGAGCTCTAAGGGTTCCTGTGTAGGTGGCAACCAACAGGTAATCTTGGTTTGCCTCTTAGCAGCTTTATGCCCGGGGCTAACCTGGAACCTAACACAGTGGTCACCCTCCACCTCTCATCAGAATAACCCCTGCTATACAATACTCTGCTAAGTGCAGCACACATTTCCTTATCAAAACCAAGCTGAACAACACAATCCTATTATAGAAGAAGTTATCAAATTTCACAAACCAGGGAATTTGCAAAAAATGACATAATCAAATAGTTGAATTAATAAATAGTTCTTGTTTCCACAAAATTCAAAATACGCATACGTGTGTTTAACAGAATACTTAATAAAAAGCCAACTCCCATTTTCCTAGTTCACACTCAAGCCAACACTCCTCACAGGATGTTAGAACACGTCTCGGCAAGATACAGAGTGTGACAATGTACAATCTCGGTGCTGCAGGAAGCTGTCCCATTTAGAAGATGGAACACACTAATAAAATGCCCAACCAAAGTTCTGCCGACTGAAGGGGGTGAGTGGGCTGAAGGCCTGAGCGGACACTGTGGTAACATAGGCCCGGGATCATGAAAGGTCTTCAGAAACCCTGGGCAATTTCAGAGATGGCAGAGGACGATGGAGTCTTACTGGAGGGTTGAGAATGTGATGAGGTAGAGCTGGCAGGGAAGGACAGGGAAGGGCAGCCACAGTGTGACAGGACACTTCCCTTCCTCCTTGGAAGGAAGCACCTTCTCAAGACTGCCCACAGCCCCAGGAGTCTGCCTTTTCAGATCCTCACATGCAGCTGTCAGCCTGTCAGCTTGGTGGCCTCCTCCAAACACCGGTGTCCCTGCATCTCCTCATGAGTGAGCGGAGAGCACTGACAACTCACTCAGGCAGTGGTTCTCAACCCGAGAGTCACAGCCCCTTTGGCCAACCCTTACCTCCAAAACAATTACAGTTGTGAAGTAGCAAAGGAATAATTTTATGTGGGGGTCCCCACAACACGAGGAACTGTATTAAAGGTCACAGCACTAGGAAGGTTGAGAACCCTGCTCTAAATACCCAACATTCCAACCATTTTCATATCTTCTGCATGATTTGAAGGTTCTAGAGGGATAAACCAGACTCACAGACTTCGCACATTCTGGTATGTAAGAGCTACCAAGAACCTCATGCATATAGAAGTTTAAAACATATTTATTAAATGTAGGAGCAGATGGTATATGATGAATCTTACACAATATTGGCAAAATAGTGGGAGCCTTGGTTGATGGCCTCATTTGGAAGTAGGAGATCAGATCTGTATCCACACCTAATTTAATGCAGGATTCTATGTAGGACACTGACATGCCAAAATGGCATTTGGATGGATACTGTAGGGAAAACTAGCTTGGAAAGAACTAGAAATAAAAACATTTTGCTAACAGTATTTTACTGACCAAAAAAATGTGGATTTGGGGGTTTGCTGATTAGTCACAAATATGAATATTCATCCAATAAATACCAACAATTCTCACATATGCTCTTATTTTCAATCTACTTTAATTCATTTCTGAAAAAAAGTGACTTTTAAAAAACCCTGCAATTATAAACTCTCTTTATTTTTAAAGACACCCTAGAAAGCAAGGTCAGCCTTATTTAAAACTTGAAATAGCTTCATGTTAGAACCTTCCAATCTGATACTTGAAGTTGGAGAACTGAAAACACTGTATTTTTATCACAATGTAAGACACTTTAAAAGTATTACTGCTGCAGACATCTACAGATGGTCCCTGATTTACGAGGGCTCAAACTTGTGACTTTTTAGACCGTATTGTGGAGGGGAAGTGGAAAGAATATATAGTTAAAGTTTCGATGTGATTCTGTCACAAGGCTAGGCAGCAACAGTGAGTTGTAGCCAGCAGCTGTGTGTTATGCGGCAACAGTTTATGCTCTGCAGTGCCCTGCGCTTCTAAGCCACGCTGCTTAGCAGGGTGGCGAGTTCAGTGCACTTTCACGATATGGTATTTTAAGTTTATGAGACGTTCACGGCAACACAATCCCACTGTCTATGAGGCTGTTCACACAAGCAGAGTTCTATAGCACAGTGTGGTAATCTATCAACACCTGAAGATGCAGCACACTGAGCAGCTGGAAATGCACAGGCAGCCGGCAGGAGGTTTGCCAGCAAACACTTTGGAGAGATCAATACAGGCTCTCAATCACAGCTGCATGTTAGAAATGCCTAGAGATGTTTGAGTTTTAGAGACAAGGCTTCACTATGTAGCCTAGATTGGTCTTAAACTCAGCACCCTCCTGCCCAGAGTCCCAAGTGCTGGGATTACACGTGAGCCGTCATGCTCAGATCATGCACAGTTTAGTAGTTAGGAGCCTCCTAGCCAACACGTCCAACCAACATTGATATATTCTGAAAGCTCTCTCCAGGTGAATTCATTATCTGGGGGTGGGAACCAATGAATCAGTGTTTAGCCATGGAAAAATACTTGTCTTATTTGTTTTCTTGACAGAGTATCAAAGCAAGGACATAACTGTGAGGAAAGCCGATGATGGCGTTACTTTTGTTTTAAAGAAACTCACTCACCTGCCTTCTGGCAATGCACAATCTTTTCATACACAGCATCTGCATTTTCAATCAGTGCCTTGAGAGACTGCATCATCTGTAAAGGAACAGCCACACATGAGATGACACACAGGCAGACAGGTGTGTCCACATCTGTGAGACAGGAGACCTGCACTCCAGGTGCAGTTATGCTAGCAAACACTGGACTGCCTTGGACAGGAATTTATGAAAAGTTATAAATAAATGTGTGATCAACCCATCTAAGGACTCTTCTGGGTTTTATTGTGTTTTGTTTGATTATCTGTTTTTGAGGTTTGGTCTCATACCGTAGTCCAGGGTGTCCTGGAACTCAGTAGATGGCCCAAATGGCCTTAAAATTGGACAAATGTCCCACCTCAACCTTGTATGAGCTAGGATTCTAAGAACGAGCCACTGTGCTTGGCTTTGGCCCAAGTTCTAAATGCCCCTGCTTTTGCTTTTTTGGGGGGTGATCATTTAAAAAAAATGTCCAAATTCATTTTACAAACATTTCTAAAACCTAGAAACTTGAAACTTTCACCCACGTTAGCCAAAATGTCTTCATATGACAATTAGTTTAAAGAATTCAACAGAACTAAGGATGTAACTCAGTGGTAGAGGACTCACTGAGCATACTCCAGGGCCTAGGGTTCAATCTCTAGCAACACATACACACTCTCACACACACATTCCCACACACTCCACACACTTACCCCCCCCCCACACACACACACAGGAAGAAGAGAGAGGGGAAACCACTAATAGTGTGTGATACCATTCATCACAAACAGTATTCAAAACACCCCACCTCTTAAAATGTTTCTCTCAATGGTTTTATTCGGCACCTAGCTGAGGGATCAGACCCCCTGGTAGGCGGCAATCAGGTAAAGAAAGGGACAAAAAGAGTGAACTTCCAAGAAGACTGGCTTCTTCCTCACCTCCTAACCTGGGACAAAGTCTGGCAACATAAAGGCCTTGTGGATGTGGGCTCTGGCCAGCAGAACCCTGCTAACACACTGGCTAACAGCTGAAGGCCGGATCAGGGCATGACACACAACAGACTTGGGCTAAGCAGCCAGCCTGCTTCTCCACAAACTGAAACCACTACATTAGGAGAGGAAGACCCTTCAGAGATTTTAAAAGGCAACCCTAGGAAAGAGACCAAATTTTCGGGTTCCTGAGGGTCCCCTCTGCTTTGGGGGGTCCTTTTTTCCGTTTTCCTGTGTGCTAACTGTAGTGTGTGTGTTTCCTCACCTCTGACTTTCTTCTACTTCTGACTTTGTCTGCTGTGTTCAACATTTCTTCCCTGCTACCTTTGACTCAAGAGCTTTCCTGCCTTTTAATTTTTTAACTGAAGAGAAAATGAACCTGATTGAGACTCCTAGACACGAATCCATCTGTTCCTTTAAATTCTACCTTGTTTTGCTTTGTATTGCTTATCACTAACTCCCATCTTATTTATTTTGTAGTAATCAAATATACGGATTGAATTATTTGTATATATCAGAGAAAACCACACTTTCGTGACATTTATTTAAAATATAATCCACCATGCCTCTTAAGCGCACTAGATTCTTACAGTAGTTGGATGCACTGATCAGTTTCCTGTGCTTTAAGACATAGGAGACAGGAAGTTTAACATAGCTTTATGTTCACTGAGGACACAGAACCCCCAGCCTCTTAGAGGAGCCTGCACTTTGGAATCCAATATTTTAACATTCACTCTTCAAGCTCTGAGTAATTCATGTAAAATAGAATATTCTGTTTTACAGCTTACCATATTGAACAGGCTGTGATAAAAGGAACAGTTAAGAACTCCACTGTGCTGACATCACGTCACTTGTGCCATTACAAATCTGCATACTGAAAAGGTCCAAACCATTATCAGTGACCTCTCTGCAGCTTTGATGTTGAGCCAAATGAGAGTTATGGAGCAACAAGCACTTTTCCATGCAAGGTCAGCTGCCACAGCTCATTATCAAAGAACTGGCTGATAGTGGCCCATCAATAAAGCAGGGAACAGGAAAATACCAGCAATAAAATGAACCCAGTTGTGAGGCAGAGGGGCAGGCTGGATGGAGAACAAAACCACAGCATCAACACTGGCTCACTGACACAGAAACTCACGGGACAGAGAAGGCGTGTATCTATGAGTTCCAGCCCTGGGGCATCCTCTCATGAGGACACTATTAAATCTTTCAGAATAACACTCTTCTTGTAAAAGGCATTTACTAAAGACATCACACCTCCTAATGCAAGGATTAAAAAACTGGCTCAAGGAAGACACTCGCTAATGGTGGATGTCACGGCTGAGTCTCCATTAACTCAGGAGGCCTGGCAGAGCATTTCCTGCAAGCTCAAAATTAGCTGATGAGTATGCCTTCTCTTCATATGCTTGCTTACTGGTGATGCTGCCAGCACACGATTAACTTTGGTGCTACTTGGAAAGTCTGCTGTGCAGCTCAGAGAACCAATATAGCACACTGTTACTATGAGAAGCACCTTCCACGCAGAAGCACCAGAGCTTAAATCATTCTACCTTTCCAGCTGCACAGCACATGCAAGCCTTGAACAATGCTTGGGAGAAATCTCAAGGGTGTGGACTGGGAAGCTCTTCTGCTTCCTTATGCTAACTCTGTAA